GGATGATGGCCATTGGATTAGAAAGAAATAGATGGCTAGGATTAAATCTTGCACATAAATGGGCTAATGGGTTGGGAAGAATGGGCTAAGAACAATTGGGTTTAAGTTAAAAGAAATGGACTCACACCTTTGGGCCTACAAATTTTCTTGTTGGACAAAGACAAACTCAAAAATTCTACCAAAATATTAATTAAACTTAGTTAAGTAAATAAACAAAATTTTGAAATGAAACTACTTTTTTTGTATTTTTTAAATGCTATAACAATAAAGTAAAAAAGTAAAGAAAATAGACTAAAATCAGAATAAAATTAAGATACCATGAATAAAAATATACTAATTGATTTTAAACTAAAGATAAAAATATAGAAAAGCGATAAATACGATAAATAAAACTATTTTATATTTTTTTTTATGTCTTAGGACTAAAAGTAAAAAAAAGATTAAAATTATATTAAAATAAAGTCAAGTAAATATTCTAAAAATATAAAAATACTAAAACTAACTTTAAAATTTGCGCGGGTCAAATTTACGTGCTTACAACCGCGGCTCAAGTTCAACGTCATTTTCTTATCATAAAAATACTAGCAAGAAGGTCGATGTTAAGTGTAATAAAATTATTTGATTTAAAATTATACATATGGGGAGATAGAATACTTAATATTTACTGTAACATAAAATGAGTCTCTTTTAAATTAATACATAGGGGGAGAGAGGGAAAACGAGGTAGGGGATTATATATAAGATAGGTAATAGGATACTCATCAACAAGGTTAAAGTTCAGTTAGTCAATAAATGGACTACTAAGATTATTCTAGTAAAATGATTTTGTAATTAGAAAATGAACTAAAGTTTTCTCTTATGTGTTAATTTATCTTTTTTCTATTTTGTTTACCAAAACAATAATATTTTGCACCTTTTATCGTTGGATGCATGCCTTTAAACATGACCCTCTCAACTTTTTGTTTAACAAAGTTATAATTTCATTTATCAACAAAATAAACACTCCGAATAGTTTCAGGATTTGGATCCATCCAAAAGCCCAAAATGCATAAAAACGTTGAGAATTAAAAAGGAGTACTTTAAAGCATCAATCACGATTTTTTTCCCTCTGCGTCGTTCATGAATGTTTACTTAAAAATTGTGGGATGTAAGAGAGTGCTCCGTTTAATTTTTTTCCCACAAAATAGCACTTGAACTACCTTTATCTCCTTTTTTATTTAGTATCAAAAAATGAGGTATTTCCCCCACTTGTTTAGGTGTCTTGTGGCCCTAGTGATAGAATGTTGGCTCATTTTTCGTGTTTTGTCCAAGAGCGATTGAAGTAAATTCCATGGATGGTCACTCAAAGTTATGAAAAATATCCTATCAAAGTCATATTTATTTCTTTTAGGATAACGTCACTTAAGCTTTGGCTTCATCTTTTAATCAAAATGCAGTTTATTCAAGAAAGCACGACATATCTTTACATTAGGCATAAAGTGACCTTGTGAAAATTTTATCAACGTTTTGCTATGTATACAAAATTAAAGATGAAGCAATCTTTTGGTAATATAGCACTATTCAGTGATTAAGCTTATTTGGTAATAAAATATGAACGTCATTTTAGACTTTAAAGTTAAATAATTTTTGTTTATCTTTTTTAACATAAGCAAATTCGAAAAAAATAAGTTTTTGGAATTTTAATTGATTCTCAAAAACTAGCTTTATTAAAATATTAATTAATGAAATATGAACGAAAAGAAATGAAAAAAAAAGGGGGGGAAATAGTTTTGATTGGAGTTAGACTCAAATTTGTGACGCTAGATCCCATGACTTCCTTACCCTCTAACATTCGACCAATGCACGAATCACCACTTTGTTATATTGGGCGCTTACTTATTTATTTAAATACTGTTTGACATACAGATTTAAATAAGAAATAAAAAAGAATAAATAAATATTGCACACATAACATCAGTTAATCTCGTCTGTGATTCCAAATATATATAATGCATGCAACACCTGTACTATACTTACT